CAAAACACATGACATTGTACGAGTGTTTACAAGGAAGTCAAAGCATTTTAACAAAACCAACTGATCCCCCCCATCTCCCCCCAAAAAGGACTTTGACTAGTTTGAGCCGAGGAAGCACACAGCCACGCTGACCTAGCAGCAGGGCATGGCAGCGATGGGCAGCCCTGCAGCATCCACAGGCAGACGGAGGGGGCTCCAACTCCACGCTGAATGAAAGGCACCTACTAATAGAAACACACAAAACTAAAACCACCTGGTTCCACAGCACTGATGTTAAGGCCTTGTGCTGAAGGAGTAGTATATATGGTTGGGAGAGACTGGGCATATAAGGAAAAGGGATCAGTCCATGGGTCCCAAATTAGGAGAGCAAAACTATAGCAAAGGGTGACCGCCATGTAACTCTGCATAAAATTTTGGCTCCTTAATCTTAGGGAAGCAAGCTAGGAGAAAGCTGCAGCCAGACCTTGCCAACAGAGATTAGCTTCCTTACAGTTTATTTGACCTTCATGGCCAGGTATCCAAATATTAATAATAAGGCTCCAAAACTCCAGCCTCCACCCTTTGCTATGTGCTCGGGAAGACAATTCACTGCTGTCATGGGTTGCAGAGAGCCAAAACATCTCAGGACCTAGAAACCACCAGCTCGAGCCTGGCAGCCAGGTGAGGCTGTTTGCCAAACCTGCCTGGCGAAGGCTCAGCACAGGCACAGCCCATACCCAGGTGGCCACACTCCACATCTGGGTAGCAGCTGTGCACCGTCACCCCACGGAGCAGACCATGCAGGGGAGCTCTGCAGGGCCTGGCTTAGCTCCTCACTAACCTTCACACAGCAGTTGGTAGAAGCTACACGTTTTATAGCTCAGTAAATCAGAAGGCCAAACAGCCCAAGCTCCTACTTGGTGCTAGGGTTGGGCTGCCCACATGGTTTTCCTGCTGAGAAACAACTTGCAAAGGGGCAGTGCGATGCCAGGTCCTGCAATCTTCCCACCACAGCACAGGCAGCCACTTTGCCATCAGGATGGAAGGGGTTTCTGCTAAGCCATACAGGACTGGAAGAACGTGATGAGCAAGACACCCTTCACAGGCTCCACTCGGCTGTTTGCCAAGTTTTGTTGTGTCCGGATAAGTTTCATTCCAGGGGACTGCTAGCTTCAGCACACTTGGAACTAGGAGCATAGAAGGGCATGCACGTCTTCAGAGGTCCACCCAGGCTTGCAAAATACAGCTGGAAGCTTGTGATGGATCCCTGCCCTGAAAACTTCATGCCTGCATATGAAGCATCCCAATATCCAAAGACAAAATTCCAACGGGTACGGGTGGAGGGCAAAAGGGAGAGCGCCAGCTTGGGATTCCTCAGCACTGAAACCCTTGCTCTAACATAAGCAATGCAGAAGTTCCCTACTCCGGCAGTGGATCACAGCAGGCAGCAATTGCAACCATCAGCAAACATTTCAAGCCTACCTGGTTAATGGAAACTGAAATCCTATTTTACTTGATCCAATTTGCTCATCTAGAGGCAAAGAGACCATCAGCTGAAACAGCAAGTTCTTACAGCCACTGCAGTAGCACTTCTCTCTTTGAGGGCAACGTACTAGTTTTTAAGATCACATTCAAGCAATCCCTGACTGCCAGAGTGGAACCAGGCGACTGATGCCTCTGGATATTGATATCCAGAGACAACTGCTTCTCTAATTCTTCGGCAAAAGGGAAAAGAAACAGTGATCAGAACCAAAGAAATTGGGCAGGCATTCCCTCCCCTAAAGGTAAATGTGAAACTAACTCCCAAGGGAAGCCATGGCCTTTTCTTCTTCTGAGATCTTTGTGGGTTTTGTTTGGACTCTCCCCATTCCCGAGGATCCTCCCCCAACCATAACCCAGGAAAACTGTAAGAGGCAGACACGGGCCTCATACAGAAACCACTGATGAAGCTGGGCTGTTAATGTGGTGGTCCATGGACAGACTGAAGCCCCCGGCTGATGGAGGTGACCCCATCAGTTTCAGGACAGCCACCCTACGGGCTCTGAGCTGCTCTTTCAAATCCTTGGAAGAAGAATTGAGATGCAAAGGAAAAGGAAATGGTTTTGGTAGGAGAGAGGATGCATGGGGTGATGCACAAAGCCTTTGGTGGAAGTTAAATAAGGACGACAAACTTCCCAAAGCTCCGAGGGCGATGGGGGAGATGGCTGTGCAAGGCTATTTCACAAGTGTGGAGGTAGGAAAGGGCAGCACTGACCCTGCCTGCTCAAAGCACACATTCCCTCCCCCCAAGCCAGGGCACACAGCAGTCACAGCTCCATCATGTTTGAGCAGGACATTGAATGCGGGGCACTTCCCGGTGCCCCGCTCAGAAACAGAATAAAGAAACCTGATGAAAGGGCAGAAGAGAGCCATGCAAACAATGCAAAAGCCAGAAGACTTCACAGTTCAGCAAGAGGCTTACAGGTGCTGACCCATTTGATCTGCCAGAAAGAAGGCAGATGGGGCTGCGATGGCAGCTTATAACACACCCTTGTGACACGGACGGCGTGGGGATGAGAAAACTGCACACGTGGGCAGAAGCGACACTAAGCCCCAGCTGCTCAGAGGAGGAAGCAGCAGCAAAGACTCCTGCTCATTTCCAAGAAGGCGCACAGGCAAGAAAAGAAGTTGTTTGAGTATTCAGTGTCATTTTCAGTTCGGCTTTTATTTCATTGACTTCAACAACAAGGTGTTCCAAAACACACACAGGTCTTGGTGCAGGCAACACTGTCATTGCTACAAGCATTGGCAGATTCTCAGCTCAATTAACCCATACGCTTTGATGTATCAAAACAAAACAAAAAACAAAAATCACAGCTCTACAGGGGAGGGTAAAAGCTACAGCAGTTCAAACTCACTTGAAGATTCCGGTATTACAGAAGTGGGCTCCATAGTGGTATACAGTAGAAAGAAGGTTTTCACAGCATATATTTTAATCATTAGTGATGCAGCAGAAAAGCTCCATCTTACTGCTGAGTTGAAAAGCAGATACTGAAGTTCTTGCACCCAGACTCTGGGCACAGCATTAACTGCATTAACCTTTTTAGTCAGAAGCTTCCTAGTTCCTAAAATGACGGTATTTTTGCATCAATATTTGTACAATACTGAAGCAGCTCAGAAAGATTACGCAATGGAGATGCAAAACCTTGGAAGTGAGAAGGGCACAGCCTAATTTACCTCCAGGAATTTGCAAAGTACCCGCACTAACACTTTCCCCGCACTAACACTGCCCCGCTGAATTAATTCTTGCATTGAGTCAAGAGCAGGATGACTCGCTTCTTTTGTAGCATATAGGAAAAAAAAAAAAAAGAAGACAACATAGTAAGTTTTCACACTGAGCATGTTAAATACTTTGAAATCTAGGACACTGCTCTTTGAAGTGTTACAAAATAAAATGATAAAACAGGCTTTCAGTACCTGCCCCCTCCCCCCTCAACTGCAAAGTAACACAGGAATCTCAGTATGAAAAATACAAATATATTTGTCCAGTGACTAGTCGTTTGTTACAATGTATACTGTAAGCATTCTGCATAAAAATAATAATTAAAAAAAACCAGAAAAACAAACAACATTTCATTGTGGTTCTGTCAGACCCGGTAGCCCAAGAAGAAATAAAAATTGGCATGTTATGCTATAGGAAACAAAAATTACACATACAAAAAAATATTTATATACACACACTTTACAGGGTAACCATCTTGCATTACCATTTAGAGCTGTCCAAAATAGGCTTGCACAGTTACCTAAAGGCAGTCTTTGAATGCAACATAGACCTGGCACAACAGACAGATGGAGGAGGATGCTAACGATATTGAACCTAGAATGAAATACATGGCACACAGCAGGGCCCAGAAAACAGCCACTGCGTTGAAACGAGATTAATTGGTTGTAGTAAGGTAGGATGACAAGTCATTTAAGCTGCTTTTTTCATCTTTCCCCAGACAAGAAGAAAAAAAAAAAGTTAGGCTTACTGTTAAGAAGAGCAAGCCAACCTGAAAGCAGCTGTGCTGAGCCGAGCTCCTCAGTTTAGGTTTGTGTATGTTAGAGTCTCACTGCCTTGGCCAATATAAATGTGAAAACATGCGCTCTGTTCAGTTACTTGTCCACAGGATACTGGCAGTCAGAGGAAATGCCTCAGAGCACAGCTGCTGTAGAACCAATAAAGAAAAAAACAGAGAAAAATCAATTTCTCATGTAAACATGACTTTTTTCAGTAGCAACACTCATATTACCAGGAACTAGTCCTTGTTCCAAGGCAGCTGGAAATTTCTTTCTTTTTTCACTCTCTTTTTTACTAGTTGCTCATCACTTAGTCTATAGTCACCACCAACAAACCACAATAGGCTCCAGCCTATTACAGAAATACCTAAAGACAGTTCTACTTGACTTGGCGGGAAACCAATCTAGCATGGTCTAGATAAAAGATTGTCTGGGTTCAGGATAGCTGAAGCCCTACAAATCAGTGTGCAGCTCTCAGCTGATCCTCTGTTCAGCTGGAGGCTAGGCAGGCAAATCCTTATACTAAACTAACCAGGCTGCATATGTGGCAAAGCCTAATTCTCTAGCTTAAATATCAGTAGTAGTACAGAATGGCTAAAGGTTGGGTGGGGGGCAGAATTCAAGAGTGACCAATGGCTATATTTGCATTTATATCCTGAAACAAGCAAACCAGGACATACACATGAAAGTAAATTCAAAACAAGAAGAGACAGCAGTCTTGGTTTTTCCCAGAGAAAGCGAGGGAAAAGGAAAAAGTGGGTTGCAGGTGGCCCTAAGTGCTGGCCTGCCCAGCAAAGTGCATGTGCTGTCTCCGCTGGAGAATATTACACATGAACAGAGCACTCAGCTCCGTGGGAAGAGGCTGTTTAAGTGCAACGTTCAGCAGACCAATTCCCATTTATTTTTCGGATGAACTGCCAGTTCAAGGTTTGGTGGCTTTGGGTTTTTTGCATTTGGTTTGGGATTTTGGGGTTTTTTTTGGCTTTTTAAAAATTTATTATAACCTTCCCACTTTCAAAAGTGGGATCGCTGGATGAGAGAGACAAGTTTGCAGGTCAGGATGCCCACAAGGTGTGTGAGGATTCAAAAGTCAAGAAAAGAAGCCCTCTCCCCAAAGGAAAACATGAAACAAGAACAACGCCTTCTTGAGAAGGTCAACGGCTTTCAAGGAAATACCACCCGCCTTCCCCCTTCGCTCAGCTCTTCCCCTTGAAAGAGCTGGGGTGGAGGTCGCGGTCCAGGAGTATGGCCTAGACAGCATCAAGGGCATAACCTAGCATGAGTGAGCAAGAAGGTTCCCTCCGCCCTTCGTCCAAGGGTGCAGTACCAAGCTGAAGGAAGACAAATGAAGGGCTGAGCAGTTTGTGGCCGAGGCGGGGTGAAGCGGGGTCCGCGGAGCTCACTCCCCTTCCTCCTTGATGCGTTGCTGTTTGTTGCGCCGGGCATCCATGTCAAAGTTGAAGTCGTTCCACTCGTCGCGGGGCGGGAAGGAAATGGTCTGCCGGAGCGTGAAGCGGACCGCGTCAATGACCCGCTCCCCCCGGGTTTCACTGGAGCCCACGCTGACGGTGGAGGCGCCGCTGGGGGTGCGCAGGAGGTGGGGAGGGGAGGAGAAGTCATGGAGCTGCCGGTGGTCCAGGATGCCTTTCCAGATGGCGTGGCGGAACTGCTCCGGGATCTTGAGGCTCACCAGATCCTGCAAGGCAAGGTGGAGGGCTTAACGGGGCAATCCCTTGGCAAGATGGGCTCCGGGAGTAGAAGCAGCCTCCGGGCCACCCTGCAAATACCCGTTAACCAACAAAGCTGCTAAAATCCAGGTAGCCGTGATGCACTGTAGAAGACAAACCACTGATCCTGAATGTAGTGGTTCACTTCTGAACAAGCATGTGTAGCCAACAAGGCAGCAAGGACTAATCCCACAAGGTCTGTTTTGAAGTTACACAAAACACATATTCATGCATAAGATATGGTGACCTAAAACTAGATGTTTAACTTGACTGCAAGGCCTCCAAGACAACCTCAGGGAGATCTGCTGGTTGTCTATGGTGGGGGATGCTGGGCTGCAGAAGTTCAACAGCTTTGAAAACTTCCGTGTTTATTTCAAAACCTGCAAAAGGATTTTAGAATCCAAGTCTGAGCTCCAGTATTTGAAGCTCTGGGTCTGACTCTGTAGGAACTGCCTTAATTACTTGAACATAACCAAAATCTAAGAACAGACACATAACCTTAGAAAACTCGGACTTTGAGGCCCCATCATCTCTGGTGCAGTACCTGAAGGTAGCATTACCTAAACTCTGGGAAATGTGATACCAGCTTCTGAAAAAATTAGCAATCAGCTTTGGTTAATTTGGATCAGCTTTTCTAATTAGAGCAACAGCAGAAGGAAGGCAGCCCACACTAGGAAGCAAAAGCGCCACAGCCTTGCAAAGTCTCGGGGCAAAAAACCAGGACAGCCAGCTCTGAGGAGAGCAATGGCACAGGAGAAGCAGCAGCAACCCTGCAGCAAAAGCCATGCAAGAGGAAAAAACCAGTTGGGCTGAGATGCCAGCAGCAAGGGAAGATTGTTAAGGTAAGGCCAGAAAACAGAAGCAGGGAGGGAAAAAACACAGACCACTTCTGGACAGCCCACTTGTCTGCAGGCGAGTGCGTGTTTCAGAGTGGTGTAAACTGAAACCGAGCCTTGCAGAATTAACAGGCGTGTGGGCTGGGGCCACTTCGGGGGCTAAAATGCACAGTGGTGGGGACGGGGAGACACTCTTTCTCTGTGCCAGGCAAGGCAGTTACAATGCTGGCCCCAAGTCCAGCCTCTCTTCACCTCACAATAAGTCTTCTCTGCGTGCAATAGCCTTAAATCAAACTAATCATATAAAAATAAAAATATACTGAGACTGGATTTCTGACCCATTCCTACAGCAGGGCCAAGAGTGCAAACAAAGGAAATGGTGAGGAGTTACTTACATCCATGGAGTAATGCTCAATCTGATAGATGGTGGTCAGCCCCTGGGTCGTGAAATAATCCACACAGGATGAGCAGCCCAACCTCGCTAAGAAGCTGCAGAGGAGGAAGGAAGGAAGGAGAGAGAAAAAAGGATCACCCTGGCTGCAACAGCCCAAACCACAGAAAAACCAAACACTCAGCCAACCTGCAGCAACAGGAAACAAAGCTTTCACCCTTGGCTTGACCTTCTCCAAGACATCCCAGGCCAGCAAGCCACATCGCTGCCACATCAAACAAATGAGGGAGTCCTTCAGCTTGGCTGCTAGCAGACAACCCACATGGCAGCACCTTGCCTTAGTCAAGAGCCGGTGCTACACAGCCTGGATCTTGGGGCAGGAAGGCTCACGTGGACCCTCCTGCCAGGTCACTTCACCCAGAAGGTGGCTGAGCCCTTGGCAGCCTGCTGCATGGATAGAGGGCTTCAGCAAGGCGGTGGGTCTGGGGCTCAGACACATCATGCACACAAAGTACTTCAAATCGGCACATTCCTCCCTAAGCGTAAAGGATTCCTCCTTTATGGGCAGCATCTTTCAACCTGTTTGACCTCACAGAGGGCAGAGGGACTTCTGACCCCAGCCATGGCTTGTCAAGTAGCCAAAGGGGGGAAAAAAGAAAAAAAAAGGAAAAAAAGAAAAAAGAAATGTTTGCAAGACTGCCTGGTGCCCTCAGCTCCACCAGTCCAACAGATGCTGTATCCCTCGGCTTTCTTGCAGTCCTAACGTCCCTGTTTCTCTCAGGTGCTCAGAGGTGGGGGTTTGAGGCTCGGTGCCCAGAGGGTACCAGCCCCGGGACTACCAAGACCCATTGGGATCCAGTGCTCCAAGAGAACGGGGCAAGGGACCTGACAGGACCCTTCAAGGCTCCCGACACGAGGCCTCCGCTCCCTGCGGGTGGGAAACGTGTGCTGGGCAGCCTGCTCCCGCTCACCTGACGATGCTGCAGTCTGTGGGGTACGGAGGAGGGGGGGTGCAGTGGGATGTTGAAGGCATGGAGAGGGGAGGAGGCAGCGCCTGTGTGGGGCTGAGGCCATTCATGTCGCCGGTCATGGCCATGTGGGTGCCCATCATGGGAACTGGAGGAGAGAAGAAGGAGGAGCACATTGTTACCCAGGCATCCCCAGACCCCCGCTTTGCCCCCACCACAGCGCCGAAGGACAGCACCCGCAGCTGAAGCGGCCTTAAATCCCCTGCAAAGCCCCTCAAGGAGCAAGCTCACAGGGAATTTCAGGCAGGGCCATAATGACTGCATGAGGACCAGATGACAGACAGTCCTTCAGGAGCTCTCCCCTCACCGGACCAACTGTCGGCAGTGCCGCCGAGTCACCTTCCCTTACAAACAGGCTCAGTAGAAACTTAAGCAAGCCGCAGGCGTCTCGGCTTTCCCTGCCGCAGGAGAGGAGCGGGACAGAGCCAGCAGCGTAACCCAATACAGAAGCCAAACAGCTTTGTTTTCAGAGACACCAAGAGCACCCGAAGGGGATCAGCAACAGGTGTGGGCAAGAGTCCAGCACTTTTGAAATTAAAAAAAAAAAAAAAAAAAAACACACACAAAAAACCACGCCCCCAAAACCATGTCTGTCATCCCGGATTTACAAGGCTGCTGGGCACTCTTCAGCAGCCAGAAGGAAGCAGGTTACCAAGCTGCGAGATGCAGCTATTTCCTTTGAAACTAAGAAGCGTCTTAATTGAACCGAGGGGAAACAGTTTGCCAACATTTGCATCTCCTCTGCTGGGAAAGGAAGAAGAAACAAGCCCTGAAAGACAGATGACAGTGCAGCCAGCCAGATCTGCAGCAAGAAGTAGCTCTGCTCACCCCTGTGAGGCTCAGAGCAGGATGCTGAAGCCTTGCCCTGTGGCACAGCAGCGAGCAATATTTGGCTCCAGGTTCCCAGCGAATTACTCTAGGCTCCCCAGCCTAACGCTAGCCACTTGGAGATGCCAAATCTCCTTGCCCAGACTAGTGGGGAGCACACGTGGAACAGAAGGAGTAAGGGTTTCTTACTGTTGGTTCCCATGCCGTCGGGGATGGTGGTTGGGGTCAAGGCATTGCGCTGCTGGGGGTTAATTAGCTGGCTGACCGAAGGCAACTTGTTCATGCTGTTCATTTTGCTGAGCGGTGGAGAGTTGGAGCCGTAGGATGACTGTGACTGCATGGAGGTCCTGCAAAGCAAGGAGGTGTTAGGACAGGAATCGCAGCAATTGGTTGGTAGGAGTGTGCGTCCAAGGGCCTACATTTTCTGTTTGTGGCAGTGGTGAGCTACTGTTAGTGAAATCACTGACACCATGGGAACATCGCAGATAAAGATCACTGGAGAGACAGTCAACAGGAAATAAGTTTCCCAGATATTCTGGGCATTTAAAAAACAAATGGTGAAATACCAACAAAGGGAAGCTTCACTTTCGGTTCAAATTTTTTATTTAAGGAAAAGTTTCTACATAAGTTTTTCGGTTGAAGAGAACATAGGCAAAGCCAGCAAACAGCTGCCAAAACATGAAAAGAGTATTTTTAAGTTAAGCTCTCCTTGTGGTCAAAGACTTTTTTTTTTTTTAAGAACAAGAACTGAGGAAACCATCTCGAAACCATCCTAACTACCCCTAAAACCTGACTGCAGAAACAATTTTCAGATCAGGTCACAGTTATCAACCTCGGTGTCTCCAAAATTCCTAGTTATGCATATAATCAGGTTGTTATCAGGTATATATATATAACAGCCAGAGGCTCTTTGCTCAAGACAGACTCCATACACCTTAGGGACTACTGAGACGGTCAGAGCTGCCTGGACGCTGACATGCAGCTTTTGCTGGTGTTAAAGAGAACCTGGTATCCAAACCCCGCAGGCTGCTTGCAAAGAGTATCAGATTCCTACTACCACTCGACAACAGCACTAGCCTCCCTCAAGTCCAGACAGCCCCAAACTCCATCCAGCATATCCATGAACCGGGCCAGAGACGCTTGCTGGCGAGCCTCCCCCTGCCCAGCCCCAAGGGTCCCAGCTGCAATCCCACCTCGTAAGCGATCCAGAGCGCAAAGACCAGACCGCTTCTGAATGGCAGCCCAGTTCCCAGATCGAGTTACAGTTGTGGCATCCCATCTGGAGTGGGGTCTTATTTGGGATATGCAGAAAATGATCATTAAAGTGGGTCCAGCAGCACAATTGGCAGAGCACCACCATGCTGCAAGAGAGCAGGTTTTTCTCTCTCCGACACCAGGAGCACTTGCAAGACTGGGCAAAGGCAACTGGGAAGCTGGCACGCTTCCCAAACACGACGTACCCTCGCAAGCCGTGCTCGCCCAGCAGAGCGGAGGTCGCCCGGCTCGCTGCAGAGCCCAGCACTCGTTCGGCAATATCACGGTGACCCCGTGGTGAATGTGCAAGGGCACATTCCCATCTCATTTCCCATTGGGAAACTTGTTCGTCTGGGTATAACTGGTTACACCAATTCCTGCAAACTGGCTTTCCTTCTATGCAAAGACAATAGTTATTACTTCAAATAAGTGAAGTGTAAAGGAAAGAAAGGGCTTATTCCTAGATAATTTATTAAAACCTTCAGCACTCAAGGTCAAGTTTCATACAATTACATTGTCTCCAGCTTCCTGCACTTTTAAGACTTGCAGTGTTGGGTGGAGAAAGCATCTATGCTAACAGGCTAGAGTATCTAAAGCCCTGAAGAACTGTTACCTAATTACACAATTACAGGAGGTACAGAAGGGTGTGAACTGTCCTTTGGCAGTGAAGATGCAGGACAAGATCCAGCAAACTTCATAGACTCAAGGAAGTGGAAAGCACAAGAAGCTTCACAAATTAATATTAACGATGGCAGCAACTCCCAAGGGGAAGTGAAACCAAGCCATGAAGTTCAGACCCAAATTTTCAGCGTGAAGGGAATGATTCAGATCTGAGGTTTCAATTCACCAATTATAAAAGTTGAGGCCAGCCATGAAATTCAAGTCAGGTTGACACCACCCTTAACCTAAGAGGCTTCTGGATTTAGGACCAAAATGAAATTTTTCTACTTTACAGGTTCAGGCACCTATCCTAACTATGCTTCAGCTGAAATTAATACACACCTGAGTAGTCTCTTAGAGCAAAATCGGCATGATATGCAAATGAAGAGGTCACCACATACACAGTGAAATTCCAAATCAATTAACAAAGACTTCCCAAAAAAGATTTAGTTGCGTTGTTTAAGGTCGGGACAGATTTTATTCAGAGAGCTCATGACTAGAAACTCTTTTTTTTTTTTTTTTTTTTAAAGGATACCTGTTGCTATGAAACAAGATTATTCAAGGAGGTCAATAGTGGGCCTAACTTTGCCATCTCCACCACCAACAGTGATCTCAGAAAAGCTAGTTAGGAGACTACAAAATACTTCGGGGATAAAAGAAAAAAAAAAAAAAAAAAAGCAAACACAATGCAACCCAAAGCACACTATAATAGAGAAAACAAATGCATACTTTACCTTATAGCTTAAGGACTCCATTCCTATCTCATTCATACTCATAAGAATCAAGATTAAGACAATCAAGCTCAAGTGAATAACCAGGAAACAGCAGCATTTTTCTTTGTACCCATACGTGTTTCAACTGAACTATTCCATCATATGAGCAGATGTGTAAAAGGTCTAGAGGAAGCCATCTAGCCAAAGAAAAGTAGCAAGATAAACCAAGATGCAAAATTTTATTGAAAATTAATGTCACACATGAATATAGCAACAGCCTCAGAAACACAAGAAAATGCTTTTGGCATTAAACACACGGACTACATGGTGTTTGAGGATTCATTTAAAATATATTGCTTTTTTCTCAGTTTTTTTTTTAAAACAGGTATTATAAGAATGTCATGCACAGTGATTTTCATTAAAATTACACTTACTATGTCTCAAGAAAGATTAGAAGTAGAAGCATTAACATTTCTTTGATATCAATGCCAATGAAATGCATTTTAATATCAAGGTATAAGGACTTCAATTAAGAGACTATTATACTTCTTGGAACAGTCTGATACGAAAGGCACTGAGTCACGTTCTGCAACTGATTTTTCTCTCAAGAGACTATGTAATTATTTAGCCAATAACATTTGTAGTTATGCAAGCTCATATGAGGGCAATCGCCTCTCATGCTTCAAGGCATATACAGATCATCTCAAGAGGTCAGGAAGGAACTTCCTTCTCCCACATATGAAGCACAGTTCAGTTCACAGGTTACGTTGTATAATTCTGCACTTTCCCAGCTCACTGGATATCAGCCCTTCACCAGAGGTGGGAAACTGCTTGGAGAGACCAATTACCTGATTCAGTAGACAAGTCCCACAGTTGTCATTCACATTAGATGGGCACACCATCATGTAAGCAGCCTTAATGCAAATGACATCAAAGGTTCATTAAGTGCAAGAAAAGGGCAGCTCAGGCTCAGAGAGTTTAAGATTTCACCCAAGCCCCTATGCCTACAGTTTGCTATCCCTGAAGACCTAGAGCTAGTCACAATGCAGAAAGACCCAAGTGGAATCAAAGCTGTCCAGTTCTGGGCCTACCTTTCCTTACGACAGCCACAGCAAGTGCAGCAAGGATTACATCCCAAGTTCACACATGGTCAATGTGCCCATCGGCAACGTTTTTTTCAAGTAAGATTGCCCACTGGGCTGCATAACACTGGGATGTCACTGATGTAGTCTGGTATTGGCATACAAGTGACAGAGATGATGCTCAGTTGCACTCATCCACTTTTAAGGCACATGAAGCAGGACACTAAAAACCAGAGAGATGCCCTTGCTCTCCACATCTCAAACAGCTGCTATTCTAGAGCAAGCAATAGTGCATGTTTTCAAGAACGCAAGTGGTTTGTAGGCTTGGTAAATAACTGGGAGCATGGAAAGGAGGAGCCCTGATTGTCACTAGGAAGACAGCGACTACAGCACAGGGACAAGGGTGGCGATAATGACTCCCCTTAGATTTCAGGTATGGGAATTTCCCAAGGCAGGCAGTGGATGCAATCTGCTCTCCAGGGAATGGAGCTATAATAAAGGGAGTGGATATACATCAACAAGTTGACATAGACTGATATGACCTGACTGACTGATAAGGCCCAATTAGTCCACTTGGTTATTCCTTGAAAGGAAAAGGCTTACTTTTCTGAAGCCCCAGAGCTGACAAAGAAGCCATCAAAAGACAGTTGGGAAAAAGTTTTCTTCTTTTATCTGTAGAGGATGGACTCTGTAGCAACTCCAATTGCTTCCAGCTCCAGGTTATTTGATTAAAAAAAAAAAAAAATTAAAAAAATACACCTTCTAAGATAACTACCTTGTAGCTGGAGAGCAAATCAAGTCACCATTAAGACCGGTTTCACAATCGTCATCCTCTTATAGGTAAGGAGGACAAGTCGCAAAGCCTTTCCAGAGGATAGTGGGATACAAATTATTTACATTCTTGTTTGGTGGAAGTCCCAGGTGCTGTATTGCCTGTCATGATGCAAGAGATTTCCTAGATGTCAGACCAGATGATGATGAACTGGAGCGTGAGCTGAAAACTCCCAGTACGGGCTCTGGATGCCTTGTATCTTCTGGTGGGCCACCTCCTCTAACTTGCTGGTGGACAGGACCTGGAGCAGAGCTCTAGATACAGATTAGTGCGTCCCTGTTGCAGTATTTCCAAATTGCCATCCACAAGCAGACAAGACCAAGATCCAGGAACAAACCTTCATTGGAAGGACAGACTGACAGTGCCAAGCATAATCCTGTGTCTGGGCTGCGTTTGCAGTTCAGATTCCCACCTCTCCCAGGGAAAGGAATAGCATTGTCTGTCTTCTCCCAAATAAAAAGGCACAGAGCAATAGTTATCTGCTTTGTGATCTCGAAGTACTTCCTGGAGTTTTCAGGCAAAGAGGCACTTGATTTGGTTAAATTTACACAAGGAATGATGGTAGAGCTGCAACTGTATGAAATAATCACTGCTAGTGTTTAATTAGTTATTCTTTATACTTAATCACAATTTTGGGGGCTCTTCTCCATCAGCCCTCCCCCACACTGCTACGGTACAACAAGTCTTGCTAAGACAATGAAGGAGATATCCAGAGATGGGATATGGCTCTCAAAGGAGATGTTTAATATGAGTCATCACCTGCTCAGATCACAGCTCTGCTGCCTGGAAGCGCATGATGTGATGTT